GACCTGTGCTTCATCTCAATGTCGATCAGCTCGAGCACGCGCCTCATGGATGGAGGATAGTGATCTCGCTTGTCTTTGTAGGTGGCGATGCGCGTAGCCAGCTTCTCCTCGTCGCTGTCGTCGATGGCCTGATGCAGTCTTTCGATGCTCTTCATGCACGAGTCGTACATGGCAACAGCCTTGCTGTGAGCTTGACGGAAGCTGTGCACCCATTTGTCCTCGCCCAGCTCTTGCCTCAGCGCATCAGCATCGGCTTCAAGCTTAGCTTCTTCTTCTTCTAGCGATTCCTTCCTCCGTACCAGTTCGTCACATGCGGAAGGAAAGATGGTGCTCGCGCGCATCTGGAAGGCGCTGAGTCGCATAGGAAGGAAGTCGAGCGAAGCACGCAGTGGCTGCAGCTTGGCGAAGAGGGCTAGCAGTCGCGAGTTCTCTTGTTCGATTTGCGGGATGGGCGAGGTAGGCGAGACGATGGAGAGGCTGGGCGGCATACTGAGCCGCTTGCTGTTGATTATCGACTGCTTTCGGGGGATTACCTCAACGACAGTTTCGAGCTCGGAAATGTCAAACTTCTCTGGAGCTTCGGCGACTGAGTCGGAGATGACGCGGTGTCTGCGCTCCTCCATCTCAAAGATCAGACGACTGAGGTTTCTGACCTCGGCGCCGATTTCACCCAGAACGTTGTTCCACAGCTCTTCCCACTCCATGGCGACTTCGACCTGGTTCTTGATGTTCTTCAGCGTCTGCTTGATCTCGCCCCAGTTCATGACGATGTCCTCCATCTGGCTGACAAGCGTCGTCTGGTCTTTTGTGGGCAGGAGCGCAATGTCGGAACGCGACTGCAGGTCCTCTATCGCGCTAATGTAGACGTTGACGAGCCCTTCGAACTTGCCGATGGCGGCATCTACCTCCTCCAGGCCTTCTCTTCCGGCAGCTGCGGCCCACTCTACGTCATCGTCGGCGTCAAGGCCGCTGAGGACCTCTTTCGTCTTGGATATCCATAGGCGGATGTCGTTGGCTGCCTTGTGGAGTGCGCGTCCGGCCTGGGTGGAGGTCGGGAGGGCGGTGATTTCGGAGGCGATAGTTGTGGGCGGCAGCTTCATCGAAGTCAGCTGCTGGATCTGGTTGGTGAAGCTGGCCTTGGAGAGGGTGTAGATGGAGTTGGCGCGGGGGTAGTGGCGCTTCTGGAAGTAGGACGCGATGTCGATGCCATTGTTGTCGTCGAGAACGGATGGCTCCTCTTCGGGTACGGGGGCGGGTAGGGGTGGCGTGTCTTTGGGCGGGGGAGTAGGTGCGGCCATGGGCTCTGGTTCGGCAGGCGCGGTGGGCTCAGGGTCGGCAGGCGCGACAGGTTCTGGTTTGGCAGGCGCGACTGTGGGTGCTGGTTCGGCGGGTGGTGCGGGCGCGGGTTCGGGTTCAGCAGCGGTAATGGTGCCGCTGAGTGCTTTTTCCGACTTGGTGACGTCGGGCAGGCGGTACTTTTGCAGGTCGAGCTCTATTTCGGCTTCTGACTCAGACGGGAGAACTTTATCGCTGGTGCTGACGACGCTGCTGTGGTCGCTGTCAAAGTCGGGCTCCATCACCAGCGTGGGCACGCTCTCGCCCGTCGACTGGGGCACGAGCGGCGTCTCTCCAGCGGCGGGAGCCTGACCAGCCTTTCCGGACCACGCAGTGCCGCGGCGCTCGACTTCGAGGCTGCGGGCTTTGCGGAACTCGTCCAGGCGGCGCAGGCGGTCCTCCTCGATGCGGCCGACGTCGACGGCGCTCTTGTTGTTGGTGTCGGCAATCTGGTTGAGGAATTTCATGCGTGCCAGCAGGCCCGGGGAGACATTTCTCGCGAGTTTGGTGGTGCTCTCAATGTGGGCGGGCGTGTGCCGAAGGGGTTTGGGCGAGGATGACGACGTCGTGGTCGTCGGTGGTGGGTTCGGCGGTGTCTTCGCTGGCAAGTCAACGGCAGTCGCGGCGGGGCTGCTGTCGAGAACTGAAGGCGGCGCGGCCGTGTCGCTCATTGAGCATGTCTGTGTGGACCTCGAGGATGCCTCCAGGTCGCGTTCAGACAAAAGAGGAGGCTGCGCAGGACTGGTATCGCTATGCACGGATCAAAAGATCAATCGGGAGATGAATCGACGTTCTTTGGGTTGGCGCCGAACTCGCGTTAGCTTAGTACCTGCACGCGTTGCTTCTGTTTGACAACAATGTCGGTGTGGCGCAACAACAATGAAGAGGTTTACAGTGCTTGCGCGAGTGGTGTGTGTCCATTGTGTGTCTTTGGAGGAGACGTTCCATAGGTCTAGAGACACCCGTTCACAAAACGTCCCGCTTGTGTCTCACCGGGCGCCGCTGTGCCCAATTTCCGCCAGCAGCCAGCTCCCCCCTGCTATCAGTGCTTTCATTCCCACTCATTCCACTCATTGGCACTCAAGGTGCAACGCCTCGGTCTGTGCCACCCTTTCTAGACGCCTCGGTCGTCGATCTTATCGTTTGTGTTATACACGTTCACTACGTGCTATGCATGGTCATGTGCTCTCTACCCCGTATCGTGGTGGATCCGTCCCCGTTCCTTTGAGCTGGACGGACTTTGATTGAATGGGATTTCCGATTGAGGACCTATTATACATTGGTACACATTATTTACATTCCGACTTGACTGTATATAACACTATAGATCTGCAAGCCGCAGGTGCAAAGGGGGTATCTATCTCAAGCCGCCTCCTATCGGCACGCTCTGAGCGGAATGGTAAAAGAGCCCTGCTTCCAACCAGGGAATACTCTTTGAGGAAATTCTCTATGGTGTGGAGTTGAGATTTGGGTGGACATGAGCTTCGTGCAAATTAGATAAAGGGTTAAGTGGGAAACATGGACAAGAAATGAAAGAAGGGTGAGATCCATGAATACTTTGCCATAAGGCCACTTCACAGCGCCTCGTAATTCGGGTCGATCTGTAGTGTAGGGGTTCTCGTTTGGTTCTTCTGCTTTTGCCATTCCGACGTGATTTCCTCACGCACGCCCTGGCACCATTGCAGGATGGCAGCATCGAACTTCTTCCACGCTTCTGCGTCTTCGCCGTGAACCACGTCCATGACATTAACGTCGAGTTTGATGTCCCAGCGCAGCTCGGCGGCTTTGACCCAGTAGCGCAGGTTGTCAGCGCAGCGGTATGGCTTGGCTGTGTCGGTGTGGTACGTCTTGATCTCTTCAAAGTGTCGTTTTGACTTTCGGACGAGAGTGTTGTGGAGATGTACGAGGCGCAGTCCGTTCTGTAGCGCGGCCAGGAAGGGTGTCGGGAGTTCGGAGTCGGCAGCGCTGGTCCACTCAGGCAGGGGCTCTGGATTGCTGTCAAACGACTTGAGGAAGAGCAGCTCCCTCTCGCGTTCTTTGCCCGTCCAGTCACCCTCGCGCCACGACCAGCTTTCTCTTTCTGCGAGTTCCAAGCGCTCCTTCTCCTCCTCGGTATCGAGCAGGGCGCCGATGTCGTCGACCCACTGCTTAAGTTGGGTGACTTCATACGGCTGCACGCCGTTTCCGAAGTTGCGAATGGCAAGACGTTTCAGTACCTCAAGTGTATCGTATAGTTCTTTTCGGATCGTCCGTTCCGACTTGATGGCGTAAAGTCGTTGTGGTTCTTCGTGTGCAGTGTAGTAGTTCTTCGCGGCGCGGATCGCGAGGGTGGTGACGTCCAGGAGATTTATGCCTTGTACTTCGTGCCATCCTGAGGCTTCCTCGCCACCGTTCTTCGCGGTCTTTCCGTCTGGCTGAACATCAGAGAAGCCCTTCTCGAGTTCGTGTAGATGCTTCATAGACTCGGCCAGCGATTCGCGTAATTCGCGACGCAGGACAGTCATATCAGGCGGCGGCGGGACGTAGACGGGGTTGTTCTTGTAGGTGCTGACGGTAGGCGGAAGCATCATGGGCTCGGGGTCCTCCCATTGCATGGACGCCGTCTCGTCAAGCGGTGACTCAACGAAGCCCACTGGGTCATTCATCCCGTCTGGTGACGCCAGCGACATCGTCGAGAAGTCGGCATCAAGGCCGGGCGACATTGGTTCGTTGCCGCTCGCTGTTCGCGATCCGGGCTTGCGGCCTTTGGCCACGCGTCCCGTCGCGGTGTCGAGTAGGCCCGTCCGCGCGAAGTAGTACTGAAGATGTGCGATGGTGCCCAGGTTCATGACACTCTCTCTGTTCTTCGCCGACTTGGAGAATTCGGTGCCCTCGGGGCGCATGTAACCACGTCGCCTGCCGCCATCGGAGAGGCGCGAGCTCACTGAGCGCGCCGACGAGACAGACGACGCGGTGGAAACAGAGCGGTCGAGTGGGGGAATTGCGCCGATGGCCAGCGATGGGGTTGCCCACGGGTCGGGCGAGGTTGAACGTGCGGGTGGGGAGTTGGGCGTGTCCATGGTGGTTGACAGGGGTGGCAGGTGCAGGGCCGTCGCAGTCGTAAGACTCCTTATCAGCAGAGAGATTCGGTGTTTTCGAATCCTAGGCATTTACGGAGCGGTGGCGGGTTATCTAGCACTGCTCTTGTTTGCGGAGCCTCCTGGGCAATGTGCGGTTGTTGCTATGTGAGTCGGGGTTGCGATAGGGGGCGTTTGATTAGAGGTTTCAGTAACGGGGAGCGACGCGAGATTGTATCCGAAAACAACGCGTGACTAGCGGCACCACATCGCCCTGAGCGTCCTCACCGATGCAATCTCCGTATAGCCGCGAACGCATGTCATTGCGATTATCCTTTGATCTGAACAGGTGTCAAAAGCAAATTCTCCTTTGCGGCGCCAGATGCCTCCCGCCCGCCTAAGGTTGCTTCTGGCCCCGCAATCCAGGTGAAAGCTCAAGGGTTCCTTCCCGAAGTAGCGTGTACCTTTCGCAATAACGATGACGTCGCACGCCTGCATGGAGCATATGCCCTATATTACAAGCAGACATTTGCATGAATTTGATCTAACAGACACCCCTCTCGCAACAACCCCACTCACATGAGACGCTTCTTTGCAACTACAGCCAGAATGTCAAGCAAGCGAGTGCGTTGTCTGCCCACGTCACTAGTGGCAAAGCTGATGTAGCCACTCAGATCCAGTACAAAGTTGAGGGCGAGGTGCAGGGCGTCAACTTCCGATCCTTCACGCAAAAGCAAGCGAAAAGTCTCGGTGTAACGGGTTTCGTGACCAATGCATCCGATGGGAGTGTGCGTATTTGACTCATACTTGCGTCGACCACCACTCACACCAGGCAGGTCCAGGGCGAGGCTCAGGGCAGCGAGGACAAGATCAAAGAGTTTGTTCAACACCTGAACAAGGGACCGTCGGCTGCATCAGTCTCAAAGGTTGACCATTCGGACATCTCGACCAAGGACGGTGAAGGCGGTTTCAACGTCAAGTAGTTGGTACTCGGCTCCCCAAACACAACCTTGGAAGACTCAACACACCTGCCGGCATCGCTATGAACCAACATCTGCCAATCATGTATGTCCTGCGCTATCGTAGCCCATGAATGGCATGAAAAGAATAGTGTAATAGCATGCATCAATTTACGTGCGATATCGGGCAGTTCCAACCACGGGTCATGTCTCGAGCACGCTGGATACCTAATTACCATGATTGAGCTGTGGTGCAGCAACATGCATCGCGCACCGATAATATACTTGCTCAAAAAGCATCTTGCTCGTGACTTGCCGTGCGCACATTCTTGCCGACTCGACGGCAGTCTTCGCCCTTTGTCCATTGGTCATCGGCACGATGCTAGAAGTTTTCTCTCTAGGTGAAGCAAGAGCCCGTCGCTAGTGTGTCGATGAAGCCTAGACAGCTCGCACGTCCACAGGTGTGATTGATCTGAGTCAAAGATCGATATGCTGAAGCTGCCAACACCACCTAGGCATAGCACCGCGTCTTGGGGTAGCAGCTACAAAGCATTCTACCGCTTAATATTGACCATGAACCCAAGAGCCAGGTCATCAAAGCCACAGACGAAAGATTACTATCATGGTACAGCGATATTTCGATGTTGCGCCGTGGCGTCAGCCCTATCAGCGGGTCTACGGCAAACGACGAGACCCCGATCTCAGTCAGCGAGACCCCGACGAGCTTCTTCCGGAAGCAGCGACCACGCATCCAACGCAACAACATCGTCCGTTCATCGTACACGGTTCCAAAAACCCACCAAAGGTACCTTTGATGAATCGCACATACTTTCGCATGTTTTTTTTCGTCGCCAAAGTCCCCCTTTGAGCTGTTGGACAGGGGCATGGCCAATGTCTTGGCAGGGCGATCCCGGTTCCTTCCGTCAGCTGAATCACCACTCCTCTCAGCCACCTCAAACTCGTCTTTGCACGCGACCGATACGCCCGTAATTGACGACTGCTGACACTTGCGGCCTCTGGAATGCACCCTATTCGCTCGCCGAGTCGCCGCAGGACGGGTATGGCGCGGTGTAGCGGCGGCATCCCATGCCCATTCCTGCTTCACCCTAATGATGACTGAACGCGCCAGGCAGGCACGAGTACTGCTTGATAGATTCTTTTTAGGTGTCAGATATAAGAGACCAACGTGTGCCTCAGTCGTGCTTCTAGCTAACCATCAGCACTTACCATTGCAGTTGACATCGCCCCTTACCCTACATACGCTTAATCAACATATACAAGTATACCCTAAACCGCAGATGATCTCCACCAGAGCAGCAACACGGGGACCAACCACCTCGAAGCGGGCTACGGCTCAGCTTATCAAGTCCTTCCAGAGCTACAATGCTGGATTCCGGCCTACATTCGTTGCGGTACAGCACTTCCAATCACCAGTTGGTCAGAGGCACTTCAGCTCTTCACCAAATGGCGGAGCCAAGATTGTAGAGTTCTTTGAGAAGCATCCAACAGAGAAGGTCCGCAAGACGCATGCAGCATGGCCCCATCCAGGTACGTACCCTCCAAGTACACAACGCCTTGACAACTAGCTAATACCTATCAGTATACACCGAAGAGCAGATGAACCAAGTCACGATCGCGCACCGAGAAGCGAAGACCATGTCCGACAAGGTCGCCCTCATCGCCGTAAAGATCCTACGCTGGGGTCTTGACAAAGCAACTGGATACAAGCATCAGAAGGCTGTGGATGTGGATGCCAAAGACCCACTGGCAAAGCGGAAAGCTTTTGCAATGAATGAAGAAAAGTATCTCATTCGCAATGTCTTCTTAGAGAGTGTCGCTGGTGTACCCGGCATGGTCGCTGGTATGCTTCGCCACTTGCACTCCATGAGACGGATGAAGCGCGACAATGGATGGTATGCAGACTCGCTTATTGGAATACGAACGCGTTGCTAAGACATCATTCGCCAGGATTGAATCGCTACTCGAAGAAAGCTACAACGAACGAATGCACCTACTTGTCTTCCTCAAGATGCAAAAGCCAGGACGCTTCATGCGTCTGATGGTACTTGGCGCCCAAGGCGTGTGGTGCAATGCCTTGTTCTTCGCCTACCTCCTCAGCCCTCGTACCGTCCATCGATTCGTAGGATATCTCGAAGAGGAAGCCGTCATCACATACACACGCCAGATCGAGGATCTTGATGCAGGCCGCCTGCCCAAGTGGGCGAAGATGGAGGCACCCGAGATCGCGGTAGACTACTGGCAGATGCCTGAAGGCCACCGCACAATGCGAGATCTGCTCCTCTACAGTGCGTATACCCCTGATCCTTCCATGCAGCACAGCCCACTAACCCAATCCTAGTCCGCGCAGACGAATCCAAGCACCGAGAGGTTAATCACACGTTCGGTAACCTCGACCAGAAGGAAGACCCTAACCCATACGTGAGCGAATACCGGAACCCAGAGGAGCCTCATCCGACCAAGGACCTTGCCCACATGAAGCCGACAGGCTGGGAGCGACACGAGATCATCTGAAGACCTCCATTGCTTTGCTTATTAGCGTTTGTTCGGCATGCACGGCGTCTTTGGTTTCCATTCTCCGCTCTTACAAAATTGCATTTCGGCGTTACAAGACATCTTGGAATATTGGAAAAACGATACCCAGATCACGATGGGTGTCATGAGGAGTAGATGCATCATGTATCCCTAGACTTTCGGACCTTCTACAGATTCAGATTCAATCTCAGTTCCAAGCGGTGTGCTCCCATCGGATCCGCATCTGGATATACAGTAGCTCCAGCACAATAGCCGGTGGTGTTGCTAGGTATAGCAATAATTTGATATCGCGAAGCTACATCGATATTCAACACAGAGTCGCTAGGTGGATCGCGGCACATCCGGAGATGGAGTAGGCTCGAAGAAGGACCGTTCAGGACCAGGGCGCAGTTCGCGCTGACTGGCGGCCTGGACGGCCGATGCCAAGTACAACGCGGATGCAACGCGTGCCCCAGCCTCCTCCTTGACATACAGAATAGCGCTTTCAAGGAAACGGAAACTTTCCGGTCAGCGTCTGCATAACCATCTCCACGTAAGCTCCAGCCCATGCACTCATGACGAGTCAGTCACATAGTGGCGCGTGTCGCGCAGCCTCGTGCAGCCTCAAAAAAGGAACTTCGCGGTAGTCTGCCGATCTGGACGGCTCCAAGACCGCCAAACTTCAACGCATTCTCAATGAAGCTACTGCTGAGTATGATTCGATAGAAACACGTTCATCTCGCTTCAAATTATCCGAACAGAGTTGCGATCGCTGAGGTTTTACAGTTTAGTGGACACGAACTGTACCTCGGGAATAAAGTAACATCGTGAAATTAGGAGACGTCTTTTGGGTTTGCGGCTCACAGCATCTAGCAGCAAGCTCGATATAGACTATTTTCGACGGACAGGGTGTGTTACATGTTACAGCAGGAAGCCATTCCTTTCCCGCAAGACACCGTTTACAACGACTGGCTTACCGTTCTTCCGTGGTTCGAAGCGGAGCTAACCCCGCACTTACTGACACTAGCTTCGATGCCAAGGGTACACCTCCTCCCAACGTGAGGCACATCGACTACTGCAACATCGTGGCACTGGGTGGGGGCGACGTGGAGTTCGAGGGATAGTGATGGATATCTTGTCTTTACTGACTCTCGGTATGTCATCGATGCCTCAATGCCGCGGATAACCTTCAATGCCTTCGATACCTCCATCCAAGTTGGGACCTCGGGAGTGCGCCGAGCGTGTGAGGCACAGCGACTACTGCACCCCACATCCGCATTCTTCCACGAGAGATGCACGGGTATCCTGTGGCCAGGACGTCAGCGCCGCAAGACCCCCGCAGCAAGGCGCGAGCTAATCCCACTTGCCGCAGCTGCATGAGCTTCCAGGACCATCATCCTAGAGCTACTTGGAGCTCTGGCAAGTATAGCAGAGAGTGCTTGAATCTGTTGTGCCATTGTGAAATCGTGCGCAAAGATCTTCGACCAATTCCTTCTCTACGCATCTATCATGAACGGATTTTCACATCTCGGTTATCGCTTTCCCGATGGTGGCTCACCCAAACGCCTCGTTCATTCCTGTTCGTACGTGATACGCTGGGCTCGACGCCTGGGGACGCTACAGTGGCCTCTCAGCTTCGGGTCCGCAATGCTTACCCCCAAGAGTGGGCCTGTATACGCAACCGAGCATGCCTTCTTACTGGATATGAGGCTTCTCCGCACCCAACTAGCAAACATGCGACATCTGCAGCGTCTATCCCAGTCCGGTCTTTATCCAGTACCGTCGGAACGGTTGGTATCCTTGCGCGAGCATTCCGACCAATCATTGCTTGCGCACCTACCCTGTGGAAGTCCGGCATAGACGCAGCCTACCTTGCGGATCCGCAAGTTTAACATGCCGCTCTCCTTCGAATGGCCTCGACGGAGACCCCTGCGGTCCCATGATGGATGGTCGTAGCCAACGTCTAAGCCTCTTTGGCTGGGGAGGCTGGCCAAATGGTACATGTCCCCTCTTCGGTGCATGCATCTTGCTGCTATCGGAATTGACGGCTGATGAGCAGCGCGTAGTGACACAGCCTAGATGACGGACCCTCCTTGAAGCCGAAGATCCTGGAGATGCGGGGTCTGAACAGTTTAAAGAGACGTCGTGCCTTCGACTGAGAAGAGCATCATGCCCAGTTGACTTGTCTCCTGCGGTCAACGATACAGCAATAACACCTTTCTAATTATATCTTTATCTCATCGACAGCCTTCAAGATGACGATTCCCGATGAGGTCGACATCATCGTGTGTGGAGGTGGTTCTTGTGGTTGTGTGGTTGCTGGACGTCTGGCCAATCTCGACCACAACCTCCAGGTCCTCTTGATTGAGGGTGGAGAGAACAACCTGAACAACCCATGGGTCTTCCGTCCGGGTATCTACCCGAGGAACATGAAGTTGGACAGCAAGACTGCCACTTTCTACTACTCTCGTCCCTCGGAGTGGCTCGATGGCCGCCGAGCTGTTGTGCCCGTCGCCAACATCCTCGGAGGTGGATCTTCCATTAACTTCATGGTAAGAGCTTCCCATCCACCTTATCATTAGCAGTTATTGACTCCTCATCAGATGTACACTCGTGCCTCCGCTTCCGACTACGACGATTTCCAGGCCAAGGGTTGGACGACCAAGGAACTCATCCCCTTGATGAAGAAGCACGAGACCTACCAACGTTCCTGCAACAACCGCGACATCCACGGTTTTGAGGGACCCATCAAGGTCTCGTTCGGTAACTACACCTACCCGATCAAGGAGGACTTCCTCCGTGCCACCGAATCTCAGGGCATCCCGACCACCGACGATCTCCAGGACTTGACCACTGGCCATGGTGCCGAGCACTGGCTCAAGTGGATCAACCGCGACACCGGACGACGATCTGACTCTGCTCACGGCTACATCCACAGCACCCGCGCTGTTCACCAGAACCTGCACCTCCTCACCAGTAACAAGGTTGAGAAGGTCATTCTTGAGGGAGACCGCGCCGTTGGCGTCAAGGTCGTCCCGACCAAGCCTCTCCACCCCGAACAGCAGATGTCGAGGGTCATCAAGGCTCGCAAGCAGATCATCGTCTCCGGTGGTACTCTGAGCTCTCCTCTCATCCTTCAGCGCTCTGGTATCGGTGACCCAGAGAAGCTCCGCAAGGCTGGCGTCAAGCCTCTTGTCGATCTTCCTGGTGTTGGTCTCAACTTCCAGGATCATTACTTGACCTTCGCCACCTACCGCGCTAAGCCTCACGTCGAATCTTTCGACGACTTCGTCCGTGGCGACCCCAAGGTCCAGGAGCAGGTCTTCCAGCAATGGAACATCAACGGCACTGGCCCACTCGCCACCAACGGTATCGAGGCTGGTGTCAAGATCCGACCGACTGAGGAAGAACTCAACATGATGGACAGCTGGCCATGCAAGGAGTTCCGCTCCGGCTGGGACTCGTACTTCAAGGACAAGCCCGACAAGCCCGTCATGCATTACTCCGTCATTGCTGGTTGGTTCGGTGACCACATGGTCATGCCACCGGGCAAGTTCTTCACCATGTTCCACTTCCTCGAGTACCCCTTCTCTCGTGGTTCCACGCACATTGTGTCACCAAACCCGTACGAGGCCCCCGACTTCGACGCTGGCTTCATGAACGACAAGCGCGACATGGCTCCTATGGTCTGGGGTTACATCAAGTCCCGTGAGACTGCCCGCCGTATGGACGCCTACGCTGGTGAGGTGCAGGCTATGCACCCCTTCTACGCCTACGACAGCCCAGCCCGTGCCAAGGATATGGATCTCCAAACCACCAACGCCTACGCGCTCCCTGGCAACATCACGGCCGGTATCCAGCACGGATCTTGGACTATGCCCATCGAGAAGGGTCGTGCAGCCAAGCCCAACTTCTTGAGCTCGAGCTGCCAGGACATTCAGGAGGACTTGCAGTACTCCACCGAGGACATCAAGCACATTGAGGACTGGACCAAGCGTATGTATCCCCCTACTCATGATTCGTCGAACATCTCACTAATAAACTACAGGCCACGTTGAGACCACCTGGCACTCGCTCGGTACCTGCTCTATGGCACCCAGGAACGGCAACTCCATCGTCAAGCACGGTGTGCTCGACGAGCGCCTCAACGTCCACGGCGTCAAGGGCCTCAAGGTCGCCGACTTGTCCATCTGCCCCGACAACGTCGGTTGCAACACGTACTCGACTGCGCTCCTCATTGGCGAGAAGTGCGCCGTGCTTACGGGTGAGGACTTGGGCTACAGCGGCAGCGCCCTCGACATGAAGGTCCCCAACTACCACGCCCCAAGGGAGATTGCTGGATTGTCGCGCTTGTAAAAAGTCGCTGGGATAGGATGTCTGTTATATAGTTTTCATGATTAAAATGAGTTAATGTTATGTTGTGTATAGTTACACGTTGTGTCTCGACGTGATTGTGATGTTGATGTTTGGATGTGACTGCTGGCTTACTCTTCCGACGATGTCGTGATCACGCTAGTCCCCATCTCCACCTCATTCATTGGTTGTCCCTGAGATGCTAGCCGCTGACCCACATGGCATGAAATGTTTAGTCGGAGACCGGAGGCACCGCATACCTCCTTGTGTAAGCCTTCTTGTCTGTCTTTACATTCCACTTTTCCTTTTTACCTTCCTAGCCCTTGCGGACAGTCGCCAAACCCAGCCACCATGTCCGCACTAACCCTCAAACGTGCATCGCAACTGGCGACCAAGGTCACGCGATCAAACTTCCAACACACCACCCGTAGTCTAGCAACCGTATCACCATTGCAAACAGCAACCCGCAACCACAAAATCGTCGTAATCGGCGGCGGCTCAGCCGGCATATCCCTCTCCCACCAACTCCTGCGCAAAGGAAACTTCTCCCAAGACGACATCGCCATCATCGACCCCGCGCAATGGCACCACTACCAACCCGGCTGGACGCTCGTAGGCGGCGGTCTAAAGAAAAAAGAAGACCTGCGCCGCCCCTTGAAAGACCTCATGGACCCACGCTTCAAATTCTACAACAGCGCTGTAGGAAGTTTTGCGCCGGACCAAAATTACGTCCTGACGAGCAACGGGGAGAAGATTGGTTATGAGCAGTTGGTTGTTGTGCCTGGTATTACGCTTGATTATGGGAGTGTTGGGGGGCTGAAGGAGGCGCTAGAGGAGAAAGATGCTATGGTTAGCACGATTTATGATTATAGGTATTGTGATAAGGCGTTTGAGAATGTGAAGAGGTTTAGGAAGGGGGATGCGGTGTTTACGCAGCCGGCGGGTGTGGTTAAGTGTGCGGGGGCGCCGCAGAAGATTATGTGGTTGGCTTTGGATTATTGGAAGGACGCTGGGTAAGAAATCGAGCGTGCGAACTGCAAGTGGGAGGTACGCTGACTTCTTGTTTCCATTTTCGCAGACTGTACCCCAAGGATATCAATGTCGCGTTTGCGACGGGGCTGCCGACTATGTTTGGAGTGCCGAAGTAGTAAGTTCTCCATCCAGAAACAACCAAGCGTCATATACTGACCTTTATACAGCGCAGCAACCCTCGAAAAACTCCGCGTAGAACGCGGCGTAGAAGGCCTCTTCCAGCACGACCTGACCTCCATCTCCGGCAACACCGCAACCTTCACAACCCCCTCCTCCCCCACCCCAGTGAAAAAACACTTTGACTTCCTGCACGTCGCGCCTAAAAACGTACCCTGGGGCTTCATCAAATCCAGCCCCCTAGCCAACGAAGCAGGCTACGTCTCCGTCTCAGACACCACCACACAACACACTTCGTACCCCAACATCTGGTCCATCGGCGACGCTTCCTCTCTGCCCACCTCCAAGACCGTCGCAGCTATCACGGCCGAAGCACCGGTTCTAGTGTCTAACGTACTGTCTGCGATGGAAGGCAAGGAGTTGACGGCAGCGTATGATGGGTACACGTCTTGTCCGTTGTTGACGGGAAGGAAAGAGGTGCTACTTGCGGAATTTAAGTATGGGGGTGTGCCGAAGGAGACGTTCAATGCGTTGTTGGGGGTTGATCAGGGGGTTCCGAGGAAGGCGTTTTATTGGCTCAAGAAGGACTTTTTTCCGTGGGTGTATGGGAGGTATCATGTCAAGGGGGAGTGGGCGGGGCCGAAGGGGTTGGCTAGATGAGCGGGCGCTCCGACTAGCAGCCTAGACCAAGTCTACGAAGAGCGCAGACTCGGATCAAGATGTAGTTGAATACAGCGCTGGTGTTCGCTTTGGCGAAACCGTGAGCCGTGGGTTTAGGTGTGAGACAGATCTCTGGTATTTTTGATCCGTTTCATAGTTATTGTCTTCCTCGAAATGTCTAGATCGAGGTTTTGCTCGTTGTATAAGAAGTCATTCAGATCCTCTTCTTCACTTTTATATTAGCTTGTTACAATAAGACCAGTCGACGCACTGATATCGCAAAACATCGGCTACATAATTTGGACGATACCACAAACGACTAAACGAACCACCGAGATGCCCGCACGAAAACATGGTCAGCCAAGCAGGCGTAACAACTACGGAAAAGGTCACGCATTCACCGACCCCAACCTCAAGCATGCCCAAGAGAAACCTCGACACGACAGTGTAGCCAACACCGAGACTACTTCCAAGAAATGGTTCTCACGTTTTTCCTTGCCCTCAAAATCGCATACCACCGGCGCTAGACCTAGACGCACGACGATCTCATTCCACGGCGATGCCACGACAGCTGTAGATAAGCGGGGTGAGCTGGTCGCTCAGATTCACGACGATGTCTTTGAGGATGGACCGCGCTCGCCGAGGGATGCTGCGGAGATGGAGTGGTATGAGACGCTGTTTACTACGGGTAGGAATATTGTGGAGGGTTTGGTTGGGTCGGTGAAGAAGGGGTTGGGGAAGTGAGTGTGGTTTGGTTGTAGTGGGTCGCGGGCGTTGGGAGTTGGGGTTTGGGTGTTGGCTGGGATGTAGACCTGGCTCACTAGGTATAGTATTGGTTTTGAATTCAAATCGGTCGATAATGTTTTGTGTTTGGTTGAAGTTGGTATCTACTGGTCTTGGAAAGTACACGAGATGTTAGACGACAGTGAATTTGAGCAGCAGAACAACATGCGGACATCAGACGATCATTGCGCAAAAGCACACACGTGCTGGCATGGGCTCTGATATGTGTTGCTACTAGATACCGTGGAGCCAATACACCCTACTCACCAACCTCATCCTCATCCTCGTCATCCCCCAACACAGGCTCATCAGCATTGATTGGCCAACACTTCCATGGTTTCTTCCCCTTCTTGATTTTCATCTGGTTATCAAAGCCACCTTCAGTCGCATGTAAACAGCACAGCCTCCTCTTAAGATCATCAGTTTGATCCTTTCTCAGAATCTTACCTATGGGCTTACCAACCCTGCAGCGCTTCTTTTTGGGGTCGTCAGTAGCTACAACTGCATAGTCATCCAGAACGGGTAGTGTGTCTAACTGCTCGAGAAGCCAGGTTAGGCCTTCATCCTCCAGGAGCTTGATGAAGCCATCGCGCGAGAGAGGCTCTGGTTTGGGAGGAGGCGGACGTGGCGCTTTCGCTAGAGTCTCCTGTGCCGGGTGATCTGATCCCTCGACCGGTGCTTCCGAGACGGCATAGACCTGAGGTGAACTTGGGAGCTCGTAAAGAAGCTCGCCGATCCAGTGTAGGTCGCTGTATCTCTTCATAGCAGCATACATGGTTTTCCTGGCTTCAATGAGAGTTGATCTTAGCTCTTCGAGGTCATGTTCGGATGGTGCTGCAGTCGAGCACTCGTTCACAGGTGTGCCGTCAACTTCAAATGGGTCGAGCGGGTTCAGTGCATGTGCCTGCTGCAGGTCTTTTCTTTCGTGAACGCTCATGAAGCTGTCAGATTGGACTTTACCATTCGGCGCAGCCAATGTTTTCGTGGGAGGTGTGGCGGGCGCAAGAGCTGGATGTTGGGTTGCGTGAGGCATTGCGGGCGATCTCTGCCTTTTGATTCCGCATGTAAGGAATGGAGGAGGGGTTTATATATCTGGATCGCAAAAGTCTGTCACATTGGCTGACAACAGCAGGTATGTTAGCATCTGAGCATCTTTCGCCTGCATGACTGCGCTGGATCGTACTGACTCAACTTCCAGCGTGGAGGAAGCTCTTCGTCAGAGATGACTATTGTCTCCGTAACACTTCCGGAGAAGTTAAGTAGTAACATTGTGTAAGTGTTGCGTTGACATTTCCTAACATGCTGGAAGGGTTAGTGCGAGTAATAGGCGCAAGAAAGACTACGCGAGGTAGGGTCAGTTCGACACGACGGTGACTTTACGGCCACGTTGTAAACAGCTGTAAGACAGCCCATAGATCTTTCATGCGACGAAGTTCAACCTGATGCGAAGAACAATAGGATAAGTAACAACGTTGACGGTACTTGGAGTGCTCATAGACTGATGACCAATGTGACCACGATGCCGTTAACACCAGGTTGGCCACTCGCTCCATCATCTAGTACATGCGGACAAACCTGGAATCCCACTTTCTCGTAGAAAGCTCTTGCGCTCGTATTCGACTGCACCATATCAAGATGAGCTCCCTTCGCACCCACACTTTTGACAGCACCCAAGAAAACCTGCATCAGCACTGAACCCCACCCCTTCCTCTGATACTCCGGCAGAATATCGATATGCAAATGCGCCGGATATTGCTCTAACACCTGCGGCCAAGGCAGCAGCATACTACAATCCGCTTCATACACAGCCTTTCGAAAGTGCCTAGCGTCTTCTCTTTCCATCCGCGAATCACCAGTCTGAACATCCGGATGTGGCACAAGTGTCGGATCGATAGTCGGAGTGAACACGTCGCGCCAGCGCTGCGCAAAAGACGTTGTATCAGCGGCGCCGATACAATAACCCACCACACGCCCGTTACCGTCATCTAGTACGTAGCATGTTTCGGGTGTTAGATCAACGTAGGCTTTGTACCAGAGACGTAAGCCTATGGTGCGCGCTGGCTCCCAGTCAAGACCTGGGTCGATGGTTTCCAGGAACTGTGGCTTTCGTCAGGATGACGGTGACGAATGAATCGACGCTGTGACGCATACCACGTGGAGTCCGTCTTTGAAATCGGCTGATGCATTATACGTGCGGACAAACGGGGTTTTCGTTGCCATGTTGGACTCGATAGCGCAAGCGAACGGGCTAGCTCGTTGGTAGACTGTTTGTATGGGTATGATGTTTCTGGCCCGTGAATAGGTGAAGTACTGAGAAGGAGGACGAGATTATGCGATGTTGTTATGTTTCATTCAGGCAGCAGTCTGAGAACAATGGCAACCAGCGGGGAAGAGGGTTCAGCTTGCGCTCGCTCAATGATTGGCCGCGCATTTTCAGATCGTGTAAGCAATATATTCGCCTGGGCATCGATAAGAACCAAGTTTCTGGATGGCGGTCTTCTATATGTGCGAGTCAGGTCCCGCGTTTTGGCAGAGACCCCTCAGGGTTGTGCGCGAAAGACAGAGAGAAGACGCGCCCCTGCGAAGGATGGACGAAAGAACGAACATTGGCACTAAGCCATTTCCAGCCTAACCCCGTTGTTGGTGATGTCATCCCCAGCCTTCCTACCTTGTACACGCGCATCCTATGAAAGGACAGCCTACTTCTTCGTCAACTACTAAAACATATGTCGTAAAAACGCATACTCACCAACAGTCGGATAACCAACGCATTTGGTGTATGGCGGTACCTGCTTCAAGCAGTTGAGTCGCCCTGCGCCGCAGTCTAGCTTGCAGTCAGCGCGTCGCGCACCTTCAACGTGGGAGAGCCGGAGACTCATATATGCGCTTACTTTCGACTTCGCACGGTCCGGTGTACGGAGGATAGTTTCCGAGCTCGTCGCAGTCGGTTTGTCGGATCTCGTTGCGTATATGAAGGCCAGCAACGCATGCGCCGAACACTACGAGGTTGAAGACTGCACGTAGCAACATCGCTTGCGGAAAGAGAAGGGATTGATTGGAAGAGATTTCTAATGTGTTGTCTATTGCATGTCCTGACAGAGAGAGTCATGCCTTCGACTTATACGGTACCGTCGAATTACCCGGATATGAGTGCTCGCTTGCTCCCTGGCGGATACGAGAACAAAGAAAACCTTGCGGAACACGAGGCTAATTGGCAGATAAGATCCTGATTGAATTACTTTAATCTAATGAGTGGAAGTCCGTTTGGTGATGGACATCAAAGGAGTGGAAACGTTCCCAATAACAGAGATGTAGCGATTGATGAGAGTTGTTACAGCGACTCAAGGTCGTCCTCAGATACGGTTGCGACGGCAGTCTTCGCAGACGTTGACATAGCAGTAGCGGCACTGCAAGATGTACTTGTGGTGGCGTGCATCGCACATCTCGCATCTGAAGCCTCTCCTCGGCGCGCCATCAAAAACGCGCTGGAAGCGTCGCGAATGCTCGCATTCATGATTATCCTGCAACTCGGCAGCTACCCTGTCAACACGCAGACGCCACTCATCAGGAAGTATGTTCGGTCCAGCGTCTCGGTCCACGATCTCTTCTGCACGCTCTACGATGCGATTGGGATCTGCCGTACGGCAACGGCATTCTTTCCAGCGTGTGCCACACTCGTAGCAGAACTCAGAACTACACTGGCATCTTCGACGAGTTAGTATAGCTTACACCTAAGAAGCGACAACGACTCACGTCATATGGTTACAACCGCTTCGCAGCTGCACCACTCGGGCACAGGAATAACAGGTCTGCCATCCCATCTGGCGTGCCAACTCCCGAGTTTGTCGAAGCGCCGGGTCGTCAGGGCAGTCAGTCTCCCCATGGAAGGCTTTGTTGCAGAGAGAACAGGTGTCCGTATCACATTTGGGACACACTGCGCGGTTTGTACCAGGCTCAACACTGTCGGGAACAATAAAGGTGTTACAGTCGTGGTTGCTGCAGTACGTCTTATTGAGCGTGGCGTATTCCACGACCGCCAGCTCAAAGATAGTCAGTTCGTCCGGAGCCATGTGCCTGGCGACCAGGTCAAGCGGAATAGGTTGCTTGCAACACCTAGGAGGATACAGAACCTCATCTTTTGTTGACCGCATGAAGAGTTCCTTCACGCAACCAACACAGTAGCGATCGCCACATTTTGCTTTGACCATGGAGGCGCGGGGGAAGCGGTCCAGACAAGTGCAGCACTTGAACTCCGTCGATAATTTTCTGATGATATCGGCCTGGCGCTCCAAGTAGGACATAGACGGTCCGGCCTCTGTCTCATCATCGGAGAACTCGACGACTGAGGTAGCAGCGATATTTCCGGATACGGTAGACATCCAGTCGTAGACCTCACCTTGAAGATCGCCGTGCACAACTGGAGGCGGGGCCTCAATCTCAGGGTCGTTGCTGCTCAACTCCAGCGCAAAACGGCGGTCTTCATGGGCTTGAACATCTTGGTGGGTAAGGTCTCCAATGGCAATGCTGTCAGAGTGGACAGCAGCGCCAATGCTCTGAGCAAGCTTTTGGTCGGCAAGAAAGTTCGTGTAAGCTTGAAGCTCTTCCTGGAATTGGCGATAGGCAAGGTCGATATCGGGAGGTTGGTCCATGGGATGCTTCCCTTTGCCAGAATCGGAGTAGACACCAAGCTCCTCGAGCTGCAGCGCCAGAGCAGCCAGCTCATCGTCCATGCAGCCGGAATGGGAGGCCTGAGTGACAACGACGGACATGTTGTAGACGCGTAGGACGTGTCAAAGCTAGATGCGAAAGTCTGAAAGGTTTTTGCACGATGAGATACCGAAGATTGAGAGCAATGTGGGAGCATGCAAGGGTTGAACAAAGCGACCCCTTACGTTTATAGGATCGTGCGCAAATGCGGGGTATTTGCTTCGAGTACGGTAGGCTACCAGTTTGTTGAACGGCTATCGCAAGCATGGAGACCCGGTTAGCTATGTGATAGCGATGCTTTGGTTCAGGGATCAACCCAAGCTAGGCCATGGATGTACCGCTACCAGCTCCGATTGTCGCAATCAAGACAACAATATGAGAGACGATGTACATTCCAGGTGATTGGCTCCGAGCTGCTTCTAGACTTACGAGGATCAAAAGGCAAGCCCTGCACTCCAGCTACAACATACACGGCAACGTATTCATGATCTCCGATCATTGTGTCATTACCCGCGCGACTTCAGCCAGAGGAAGGAAGCAAAAGCCTCATTCCGAATGAGGAAGATCGTAAACTAAACTGACGAGCCTCTACATCTTCGAATATCGTATTGACATTCTGCACTTCATACCAGATCAGGACCTCTCCAGGATAATGGACAGCAATGTTGCAAACCCATACGCTCTACCCAAGGAAACTCATTCAACCTCCCGCCCCATACGACTCACCACCCCAAAATCGCCCTCAACAAACGACCCATGCGGCCCGAGCGCATAAACCTGCGGCATATCCGCCCTCGCCACCTCCTCGAAAGTCTTTCCATCAAGCCCCACAAGAATACTATTCGTCCCCTCCTTATTAATCGTAATCGTAATCACAATGCCGTCATCCTCATCCACCGCACCAGGCCTCTGAATGAAAATCGGCTCCGTAGGACAACTCTCGCCATTCTGCGGCACCCACGCTTTAAACGTGCCAGTCCGCCAATCAGACTTGAAGAGGTGGCCATAGAAAGACGCGTGAGGCATGTCGACGCCGTTACCGAGACGCCCGATAGGAACATCTGTGCCCGGCGCGGCAATGCCGTTTCCGGATACGCCGTAGACGAAGCGGTAGTTTGGGTCCATGGATGCGGCTTTGGAGATGCGTGGCAGTTCGGCCATCATGTTTGGGATAGCGGCTTTGACGGTGCCGCGGGCGACGACGGCGGGGTCGCGCGTGTTCACGGCGGGGAGTTCGTAGCGGACGAGACGGCCGACTTGGTAGGGTTTGAGCGGGTTGATGACGTTCGAAATCGCGTACTCGTGGTAAGGGTAGTGTTCGGCCTTGTAGCTCGCGATGTCGACATGGACGTTGGTGTGGCCAGTTTTGGGATCGACGTAGTCGTAGGCGTTGGCTGTGTGGAAGAAGTAGAAGTTTGGGACTTGGTAGGATGCGATGCTGGGAGGTGTTAGTTTGGGGGAATTTGGAGACAAAGGAATAGGAGAGACGTACACCTTGCCGTCGGCCTTGTCTAGAACGTAGAAGTACACAGGCGATTCGTGCTCGCATACCATGGCCTCGACGAGGGTCTTGCTCGGATCACTAAGATCCAATATAACAGGCTATCGGCATGTTAGTTTCGATCCACATACCGCCTATCCACCCCTTCGGAACTACTACTTACGTTCCTGACAAACACAACATATTTGTCCGTCATAGCAAGAGCATGCGTGTAGCACGGCTTACACGGCAGCGGCGACTTCCACAACAGACGCGCCGGATTCGCCACCACATCCAGCGCGAAAATATACATGACCCCCGCCGCATCGATCAAGTAATTGTACGTCGTTCCTCGCTTGCGATCATGAACGGGATGGGCGCAGCACCCTGTTCCAGCGAGCTCGGGATCGATGACCGCATGGGAGAGTAAGCGCTTTGGCTCGAGCGTCTTTGCATCGCAGATTTGCATGCAGTTCCAGTCGGTGTGAACGAGGATCTATGTCTTTTTGTGAGCTTCGTGGGTTTCTTTTGGCATGGAATGGAGATGGGGGTTGTCTTACCTCCTGTGTCGCTGGATCCTCCGCTTTGACACCCCTCGAATTCGGATTCTTATCCTCCGGTAAATGCATACCGCGTCTCGGCTGGACATGAACATTAAGAGCGTCTGGTTCGATGGATTCATGGGGCAGGAAAACCGTTTGCTACATCCACTCTTCATTAGCCTTCCCATCACTTCTCATAGATCCGCATGACATAGAATATAAAACGATCAGACTTACACGCGCCCCAAGTAATTTCGAACACGGATCCTGGGCTTCGAAAAGAGGCGTATTGGGATTCGGTCCCACCCACGAGTTCTTGACGTAGCCGTCTTTCTTTGCTTGATTCGTGATCCCGTTGGAAGTGTACCGGCTCATGTAGTACACGCGACCGTCCGTCATGCGGAATTTGTGGAGTAGGGCCAGGCCGTCGAAGAGGTGCTGGATTATGACTCGGGGTGTGGAGTCGTCTTCCGAGGTGGGGACTGTGAAACGGCCTACGCCGACTCTGTGGTTGTTGGTGTTAATTGGGAGTTGCGGTGAGATGGATGGGATGGATAGTGTAGGGTCCCGTACCGGAGGAAGGAGCCATGGAGCCATTTGGGCCATGTGCCGCTGAGCTTGCACTCTACCTCGGTGGTGGTTTCGGGGACGTCTTGGAAGTAGGGTGGAGCGTATTGCAGTTCTTCCGCTGTGATAATGTCCCATCGGTATCCTTTTGGCTTTTGTTCGGGTGCCATTTCGAGGTTGGAGGAATGTTGTTGGAAACGTAACGTTCGGTAAGTGTAAGTAAAGGTGTTGAGTAACTGTTGTACACTGATGTACGATGCTGGTGTTGATGAAGCTTCGAGGTGGTCTACGATGCTTTATATATGCTCTTCGTTCTTCCATCGCGGGATACAATGAAGCCATGACCATAAGCATTCAATCTACAGAGGGCCGATTCCATCTCACCGACAAGCAGACAAGGCGGCCAAGCTAGAACGTGAAGCATGGTACAACCCTATACCGTTACCATTCTTGCTTATACAATATGCCACATCCGGCTAAGTGTATAACTACACCCAGGGCCACGGAGTATGCTAGTCAGTGCCCAGAGTCTTACCACAACTACGGGACTGCCATCGCTTACAAACGACACCGTATGACTAGCCGCTTCATCCTATCGTGAGGCAGACGCGAATGAAACTTGCATACGTGAAGTCAGTGCTTTGCAATCCTCGTTCTCTAATTCGGCGGCGCTGGCGGATGTCGGTGTCCTAATTGACATCCGATCCGGATGACAGCCACATCAACTCCGTTCCGTGTCCTGCCAAGTTGATTTAGATTTACGCAGGGACTTTATTGCGGAGGATATGCAACGGCAGCGGTTAGTACCGTCGGCGGCTTTCTGAAGGCTACCTACTACCCCCTGCATGTATCTACCATCTAGCGGGTTGAGCACTGCCGCCTTGGCTGCTCTGCAGGATCAGTAATCCATAGTGTCGTCCATTGCCAGGGGGTTGAACATCAACAGCGTATGTACTCGATGTGATGGTGACATGATAGCCAAGAGGTGCATTCGTTCACAATAACACGAAAAGTCCTAAAGTGTCAACGCCTTCAACCCCTCCCCAACCGCCTCCCTACTCCTCAAACTCTCCCCCGCCGCCCTCTGCGCAAACCCCACAACATCCTTAACCTCCTTTCCCCTACCCAAACCATGCGCAACCGCCCCACAGAATGTGTCGCCAATCCCATTTACACTAACCACCTCACTGGGCTGTAGCACCTTTTCCACCGGAAAGAGTCTTATATACAGACCGCCAACGCCCTTGCCCTTGCCTTTCCCATCTTTACCAGCTGAATCCATCGACGAAAGGTTCCTCGCAAGCACATACGCCCTCTCCCCCTCATCATACAACTCCTCCGCATCGTTCGAGAGCAGTTTCGTCATCAACACGCCCCTACTCCCCAGTTTCGTCAGGATAGTAGGGAAGAAAGGGAGGAGTTTGATGGTTTGTTGGGGGATGCCTTGGTCTACCAACTCGCTTCCTACGGTAACAGCGAGGGGAACTCTCAGCCCGCCATTGGGTATACCCAGCGCATCAATCACGCCAAACCATTCCGGAGACTCGAAGAGTGACGATTGCGCGGCGAAATCGTGGAGAGCGGTGAGTTCGTACGTGTTTGGTGTTATGATGTCGACGAGGGGGGTAGGGTAGATGGATTGTGCCGCCTTGGAAGTTGTGCTGGAAGGGAGTATACGCAGCGCCTTTGCCGTAGAGACAGGCTCGAAGATCGTCGTCGTATCTGGGTGACGGGCAGCTTGGAGCCAAGTGTGTAGAGCGGGTGACGACCAATTTGCGTCTGTGACGAAGACTCTGGGGCGGGGGGAGGTGGTGGTGAAGATGCTGGTCGCTAGTTCTTGGATGGTTTCTACAGGGATGGTTTCGAGGATTGACATGTCGGCCATGGCGAGGGCGAGGTCTTTGTTTGTGTTGTTGATGGCGACGTATTGGGCTGTACGGGATGGGGCTGGCAGGGTTTTGATGCCGGTTGTTGGCATGCCTTCTGATTGCAGCTGGCTGAGGGCTGCGCGGCCGCTCAGGTCGTCGCCGACGGCGCTGTGGAGATGGACGAATGAGCCGAGGAGGTGAGAGGCTTTTGCGATGTTGTGTGCTACTCCTCCGAGTGTTTGGGTGATGACTGCTGGGTTCGAGGTGTGAGGTAGTGGTTCTGTTTGGCTTGCAGAAGCTGTGAATGGAGCATAGTCACACGAAAAGTCGACCGCGAGGGCACCTGCAACGACTACATCCGGGACTTTTTGAAACTCGATGGCAGATGAAATTGACGAGACTGGAGTGGAAGGAGGCTCAAGAGGCGATGGAGTTGCATTACGCGACTGCCCATCTGCAGTTGACGCGGGACTAGACTGAACAGGAGTGAAGTAAGAGGAAGTTCGTCTAGCATACTTACATCAGTGCCAGTCTACATTAAGCAACAAGAGTGCTGGCTCACCCTTGGGCTTCTCCCTGCTTTGCTTCAAGTATGGCAAGCTCTCGAGCTACGATGGTGGCTCGTCTCACGTTGGATTCTATGAGGGCTCTGTTGGCAGGTATGCTCTTGCCCTTGCTGAGCTCTTTGATCTTGGCAAGCACAAAAGGTGTGTTGTCTTTGCCGGAAATGTTGGCTGCTTCAGCTTGTTTCAGAGCTTCGGCAATGATTACATCCATTTCATCTTTGGGTATAGCGAAATCGGTAGGAACGGGGTTGGCGAAGAGGAGACCAGATGAGATTTGGAGTGCGTGTTGCGCATCTGCAAGATATCAGAATCAGGTCAGAGGGGAGGGTTTGAAGACTCACATATGACAGCAGCCGCCTCGATCTCATCCGCAATGGTCGTCGGGCTCTTGACTCCACTGTCCCTCGACCAGAAGGCAGGGAAGTCTACATTGCCTTTTCGTCCATCGGCGAAGGTTCCTACGCCCACGCCTTCGGTCTCAAGATACTCTATCGTCCGTGGTATGTCGAGGAAGCTCTTGCAGCCACTAGAGATGACGGTGACCGGAGTCCTGCCGAGCTCTGTCAAATCGGCAGAAATATCCATGCTTGACTCAGCGCCGCGATGAACCCCACCAAGGCCACCTGTTCCAAAGATCTTGATGCCAGCGAGGTGAGCGAGCAGCATAGTGCCTGATATAGTTGTACCGCCATTGAAGGACTTATCGGTCAGTCGCATACCGCATACATAGCCGAGGTCTCGTCGCGAGAGCTTCATTGTGTTTGGGTTACCAGCAGAAGAAGCCAGCTTGATCAGCTCTTCTGGATCCATGCCTACACGTGCTACACCGTCTAGAATGCCAATGGTAGCTGGGATGCCGCCATTCGTTCGGACTACGCTTTCGAGGAGGGATGCGAGGGCTACGTTCTCAGGGTAGGGAAAGCCTGTCACGTGAGTTAGCAAGCGATGCGCTTACACATATTTTATTCCTACCATGGGTGTAGATCGTCGTCTCGAGCGCGACGACGGGCTTTTTGGAGTGTAGAGCTTCGCGCACCTCCTCCGAGACGCGGAAGAAGCCATTGTTGGTCAAATGGCGCCTTCCCGATACAGTCGCGATGCCATGGCGACTGGCAGATATCCGCGGCCGACCAATTGAACGTGCTAGAAGTCTCATAGTGACGTGGGAGAGTGAGGGTGGGTAGATAGCTAGACATGGAGGGGTGAGCTCGAGCTGTCGCGCCAAGACGCGGAGGTGCCAGGGAACTCCGAAGAGAACACCTACGACGCAACATCCGCCGCGTGTCCACCGACTGCCCAACCCGCCAGCCAACCCAATTCCCTCACCACCGACCTCATACATGACTGGATAGCTTGACTGCTGGTCCAACAATGAGGTCTTTCCTCTTTACGAGCTGCATAGCAGCGCTTTCGAGCTTCGCGAGCGCCGAACTCAACCTGTCACAACCGCTGCTATCCAAGCAAGTGCTACCCAGCACATTTACACCACCGCAGGTGTTCAAGAATGCCAACCTAGTCCGGACGACGAATCTGGACAAGGCATACGTCAGGGAGACGATCAATGTCATAATCGAGAACATTGACGACAAGGCGCAATCAGAATACTACCTGCCATTCGACTCGAGCACGCTATCCAAAGTCGGAGGGTTCGAAGTAAGAGACAAGAAGGCGGCTGAGAAGGGCATCTTCAAGGTCGAGGTGGTGGGCTTCGATGCAGAGAGGTAGGCAATGGCACAATTGATATCACTTGTCGAGACTGACCGGGACAGCTCCGTCGAGTTCTACAAGATCTACCTCCCCGAGCCTCTCGCATCCAAGGCGCAACAAACCATCAGCATCTCCTACTCGATCGCCTCGGCTCTGAAGCCCGTCCCCGCCCAGATCGCCCAGACGGACAAGCAGTACATTCAATACGACTTCAGCGCATACGCACCCTCGGCCTACCTCACCGAGAAGCAGCGAACCAAGGTCAAGTTCCCCAACAGCGATGTGCCAGACTACACGAGCCTTCCCTCCGAGCTCAACGACGAGCAGACGGCCGACCCCCAGAAGCAAGGCTCGACCTTCACATACGGTCTCTACAACAACGTGCCCGCAGGCGCCCAGCAGGCCGTAAGCGTGCGCTACGAGTTCACCAAGCCCGTCACCCACGCGACACTGCTGGAGCGCGACATCGAAGTCTCGCACTGGGGCGGCAACCTGGCATCCGAGGAGCGCTACTGGCTCGTCAACCAAGGCGCAGGCCTCAAGAACCACTTCTCGCGCGTAGAATGGCAGCGCCAGTCCTACCTCAACCCCCCGACCTTTGCCCTCAAGGGCCTCGCTCTCCCCCTCGCCCCCGGCGCCGTCGACCCCTACTTCACCGACGACATCGGTAACGTCTCGACCTCCAAGTTCCGCCCCGGCAAAAAAGAAGCCCTCCTGGAACTCAAGCCGCGCTACCCCGTCTTCGGAACCTGGAAGTACAGCTTCCGCGTTGGCTGGAACGCAGACCTCTCCTCGTACCTGCGCAAGCTCTCCACAGGCGACACTTACGCGCTCAAAGTGCCCTTCCTCGAGGGCCCCCGCTCCGGCGAAGGCATCTCCTACGGCCGCGTAAACCTTCGCGTTATCCTCCCCGAAGGCGCGAAGAACGTCAAGTTCTCCACCACTGTTCCTATCGTCAGCAACGAGACTAGCCTCCACAAGACGTTCATGGATACTCTTGGTCGCACCACACTCGAACTCACGGCTATCAACCTGGTTGATGAGTTCAGAGACCGCGACCTCGTTGTCACGTACGACTACCCCTGGACTGCTGGATACAGGAAGCCGGTTGTTATTACGCTGGGCATGTTTGCCGTGTTTGCTGTTACGTGGGTCGTGGGTAGCATTGATACTAGCATTGGGAAGAAGAAGACTGCGTAGAGAAAAGAGAGGAGGTTTGGAATGTACAAAAAGTAAACTGGGAAGAAAGGATTGATATCGAGAGATTTTGGGTATCGATGTATCTGGGCTGCATGAACTGGGTTCACACAGCCGATTTAGGAGTATAGCGATTTTTTGCAGGTACCATGTAAGAAGAATGAAATACGAAGTTCCAATTCCAAATTCCCCGTATCCAATCGTCTAGGGTATCACGCTCCAACTTCTACCATCCACCACCCCATTTTCATCTCTCTCGTGCTCTCTAATCCAATCTACAACCCAACACTCACTCTCCGTCTACTCCCTCTTCTCTCCTCCCACATCAAACAAACAACAGCCCCATCAAAAAGGATCCCTCCTTCCCTTAACCCGATGAACATGGCGACACACAACCCTAACACCCTCTTCACACCCCCTCCTCCCCGCTTCACTCTTAACACACTGCGCGATGCGTTCCGCAATCGCTACGCTGCGATGTGTACCAGAGTGGCAACACACACTCAGACTAACTTCCATTTCCCTCCCACTCCCACTCCCATTACCCCCTCCATCTCTCCCCCTTTCCCTGTCTCCTCTTCCTTCTCTCCCTCGAGTCTTACTTCGTTGCGCCTCCCCAAACCGCACAACCCTCTCCACAGCTTTCCTAGCCGCATACCTCGCCTGCTCGTCTTCCATAACGATGTCTTGGATGCGTGGACTCACGCCTGAGTATTCTCTACACAGCGCTGGTGAGGGAGGGCGGACGGTGCGCGCGTCGATGGTGTAGAGGTGCGGGATTGGTGGGGTGCGGTGTGGGAGTTGGGAGTGTAGGAGGGCGGCGCGCGTGGATTCTGTGGGTGTGAGGTCCGTGGCGAAGGTTATTATGTAGACGGTTGGGGTTGGGGGGAGGGGGGTGTGGTAGGAGTAGGAGGGTGGATAGTGGAGGGGAGGCTGGGAGGATTGGTGGGGGGATTGGTGGGTGTGGGTGTGGTATGAAGTAGACCGTGGTAAACTGGTTCTTTGAGGCGGAGTGGAAGAACGATATCTTTCTCGGTGGTGGAGTTGGGAGTCGTATTCGAAGGAGTGGGAGTAGGTGGCGTATTGCTTCTTAGGCATTTTGTCGCTGGTGTCGTAGTGTCGGGTGGGGGGTCGAGGTAGTGGTGGTATGTATCTGCTCTCCCTTTCCCTTTCTCTTTCTCTATCCCGTTCTCTTCCTCTGTCTCTGTCTCTCTCTCGATCTTTCTCCCTCTCCCTCTCCTTCTCCCTCGCCCTAACACGTTCCCGTTCCCTCTGCCTCTCCTCCTCCGCAATCCTCACCGTCCTGCTCGACGTCCCCTGAGCAGGCGGCAGATCGAAATGAACGTGTCTGCCCTCCGTTTTCTTGAGACTGCTCTTGCGCGGTGGTCTTTCTGGCTGCTGTGTTTGAACTGGCTTGACGTATCTCCAATATTCTGTTTGAGAGGGTCGGTGCGAAGTGTTTGGTCTGTACGAAGTGCTTTGTCTGGAAGCTGTACTGGGTCGTGCGTACGAGGTTTCGTAGTAGGAATTGTAGCGACGTGGTTCTGTGTACGGGTAGGGTCTGGACATGTAAGTTGTGTCGTAAGAACGCGAGGTGAGGTTGTGCGGGTAATGGGGAGGACGCAGGCAGGTGTGTGAGTGGTGGGAGGGAGGTGCGGAAGTGTAGCGGTACATGGTTGTTCTTTCTCGTCTTCATGCCTTTTGCGGTTGCGGTAGAGTGTGTTACTTCTCCTTTGCGTGATGCGTATATCTACAGAGCCATGATAACGTAGGTAATGATATTGGTGGTGTAGGTGACAGACGTTGGCGAAAGACTCAAAGTTCTTCGCGTAGGTTGATGGTAGTACGATACTCATAGTATGGCGTTCGCGCTCCGTGCTTGTGGGCATGCCGATAGGCAGTCGAAGCTCGTGGGAGTCACAATCGCACAGAACGACATGGCGTTCCTGCTTCCCCACACTGCCATGTGTTGGGTGCGCATTGCACTTGCCAAAGCAAAGCTGAGGTTCGGAAATAGAAATTGAGATATGGGAATGCGACTAGCACGGGTATATGATTGCTATGAAGCTATTGCGAGTTTGACAACTTGGTTTAGGAGTGGAGTCAGAAGTGGTGATAGAACTGGAAGGAAACTTGTAGTGGTCGGCCGTTGATGACTTTAGGAAGTGACGATTGGTGAGATGACGAAGTGGTTCACAGACTGGAGGAAGGAACTACCAACCTTGGAAGCAGCTACCTCATTGTATGCGTATTCTCCAAAACCTCTTCTTCTCTTTACGTGCTCTTTCCTCTTACGCCAAACAGAAGTCTAGTGGATATGTCTACGCCACATCACCATGGCCTCTTCAGTTGGGCTGCCGCCATTGTGGATTTACAGACTCGATCACTAATCTTCTCATCGAGTCTGCCTACCACAGACTTCTCGTTGCAGCCATCTCGAAATTCGCAACGACTTCGAAACGAGTTTACAATTCAGTACGTCTCGCGTCTAGTCAAGCTTTCTAACAGTGGGTCATCGGCCTCTCTACTGCACGACATCTGTCTGACTCCGCCACACATCCTCGCTTCCACAACAACCCACGAGGATCCAGGACTGCAGTTTCGCAATGTGCTCAGTTCCACATTTCGTCGCTTGCGTTGGGCATCACCACAGTCAGAACGACTTAGCCTTGGCTTTGGATGACTTGCTTATGATGTGCGAAGCGGTCCCGGCGTATAAGCCGTGTATTGGCATCTCGGCCGTATCTCACAATGTGCGGTCCGTCTTGAGGCCGGCCTTGATCGTCCGTTGGGCATCAAGGTACCATGTCGGCGTCCTCGCACGGCTCGCTGACCGCTGCGACGACCCGGACGAAACTCCAGCTGCAGGTGTTCAGGGCACTGTCGCTGTCGACAAGCGAGGTGTTGTGATTGCCTTGACTAGTCGATGCGAGGCATCGCGAGGTCGCTCATGCTTGAGCAGATTTCGCCATCGCGAAAGCCCCACCAGGTCCCTGCACTGTCTCGAACATCGACAGAAGCCGTGTCTCGTTATGTGGATATCACATATTGTGCATGCGCGGTGCAGGCATACCGCTGCGCTCAAGGCTCCGAAGTTGCGGTCTGACAGATCCGGAACCGCTGAGGGGTCCGACGTTGTGTAACGAGCTCCTTCGAAGGGTAACCCGGACAGCACATAGCAAAAGCTGCGAATATGCAAACCGATTTCTTGAAAGTACGGCCGAAAAACCATGGCATGGACAAGCTCTATTG